TGATTGAAACTCCATTTAAATGCATTCCATAAATTATCATCATAACATCGCTTATTTCAAAGAAACTACACGTGGTACATATGGAAACGCTTTGATCTAAACCATTCTCGGTCGTAGATAAAATATCGTGAAAGCCCAGCTTTCGCGACAGACGGCTTTTATAGAAGTTGCGCGCATACATCAAGTTGCGTATGGGAGTATACAAATAATATCATTGAAATGAGGTACCAACACTGACATCCGAATGGTTTTAGTAGTGTTGGCAACTGTGTTTTCCCAGCTTTCAGAAGCATTTATGCAAGACTGCCCGAGAAGTGGCTTTTGATCACCCTTACAATGAGGAATATGAAAATTTATGGTTTTTCTTTTTGTGGTTTTTTTGGTTTTCTGGTGCCGAATTAAGGAGGTTTGGTCATATATCTTTTTGTTGCAAATGCGGCACTGATTTTCTGACCAGTATGAGTTTGCTTGTGTGTTCGCAAGTGTTCCTTCCGGCTGAAGCTCGAGTTGCAGAGGTCGCATCTGAACGGCTTCTCACCTGTATGAGTTCGCATGTGTCTTCGCAAGTCTGAATTCTGACTGAAGCTCGAACTGCAGTGACCACATTTGAACGGCTTCTCACCAGTATGAGTTCGCATGTGTCTTTTCAAGTCTGAATCCCGACCAAAGCTCGAGCTGCAGTTACCACATTTGAACGGCTTCTCGCCAGTATGAGTTCGCATGTGTTTTTGCAAGTGCTCTTTCTGGCTGAAGTTTGAATTGCATTGACCGCATTTGAACGGCTTCTCACCAGTATGGACTCTGCAGTGTTTCCTTAAATTTCCCAATGTCCCGAACCTCTTTTCACATTGTATGCAATTGTATGGCTTCTCGCCTGTATGCGTCCTTAAGTGAATCTTCAGGGATTGAGTAGAAAAGGTTTTGCCGCAATGACTACATCCGAATGAGCGTCTACGACTGCCAGCCCTGTTTTGGCTGTGATCAGCACATTCAGTGCTTTCGCATACCGCAGCCGATGTCGTCCAATTTGGTTCCGGAAGTGGCCGGTGGCTATCAGTGCAGTTGGCTGTATCGTCCTTTTTCGACTCGATTGGGCTTGCAAGCTATAAAACCATTTGAAGCAGTCGTCTTTTTTATCAACGCCAAACAGTAACTCAAAACTACATTCGATTTACTCGCCTTTTACTTGAAAAAAGTTTCGCAATTCAAATTTTTTGACAAAGAATTTTATCCACTGCTAATTCATACTCTCCTTATTTCCTGGTTTATTATGCATTTTCGCATATATGCAAGTGCGGAAACGCATATTGCGACGACCCCGGTGTGTGTATGTGTGTCTGTCTGTCTATCTGTCTGTCCGGGTATTTCAACTCGGCACACAGGAAGCTTCAGCGCCAAAATTTTGCGAGTGAGTTCCCTGGCCAAGTGCCACTCCAGGACCGCGGCACCAGCCCTCACGCACGTTTAGGCCTCGCGTATGAGCGCGTGAAGGTTTTGGCGGGAAAACTGCTAACTCGGGAACTGGGAAGGCCAAAAAACTGAAATTTTCAGGGGTTGTTCCCAGCCCAAATACAACTTAAAGTTATCAAATTCAACCCCCAGGCATACGTGATCCTCACGTACGGCCTCGTGAAAGTTTTTGGCGGGAAAATGGCTAACTGGAGAACTAGTGAAGCTGGGAGACCGAAATTTTCAGAGGATATTTCAAGCTCATGCATAACTCAAATTTTTCAAACTTAGCCCCGGGCGTGCGTGGCTGCCGTATGCGTCACCAATGATTTCTTTCATAGTGTGCAGGCATGGCGAGGTGAGGAATACCAGAACTGTCGTACTGAAAGCTGAGATTTCGATTCCATCAGTGAGACAACCAACCGTCTGCGATTTGCATGTTCGTTTTGGCTTTAATTTTATGTGACATACCGCAAGAAACCTGTCACTCGCTACCTTCCAAGCAACCCTGGAAGGAGAGACCTATCGACAGCCTATAGAGAACCACCGACAGAAGTACTTCAAAGTGCTTCCGCCTTTCGTAGAGAGTGCATAAGGAGAAAGGTTTGCTTACTTTTATTATTGTTATTATTACCATTAATGCGCATCATTGTTCTTTTCACGCCTTTGTTTTCTACCTTTAGATACTGGACATTCTTCCTTTTAACAGTTGATGCATCTTTCAGAAGAACTGGGAAAAATTTCAAAATTCATTTTCTATCACTGAGGGCTACTAGCTTAGCCTTGTTCAAATTTTTTCATTTTCGCTGCTCTTGTGCATGTGTAAGCGTGATTTAGAAGTCAGTTGGCTTGGAGAACTAATGATTTTCCGATACCAAATGTTCTGGAGACACTCACGCTTTCGCAGAATTAGAGCGAAGTATGGTAATTACCTCCGACAACCACTGAGAAGCACTGGCGGATCCAGGAGCGAGAGGGGGGATCGTCTTCCCTCCCCCTCCTCCTAGAGCTTAGGTAGCAGTTGTTTTGCCCCCCTCCTTCCCCCAGGAGCTTTGTCATTCTCAGTTTAGAGTCCATTGGTGAGACGAGGGGAGGGGGAGTAGGAGATCGAGGAGTAGCGCGACGACTGAAGGGTGGGCTGGGAGCTGGCCGAGTGGGGTGTAGTGAAGAAAGGAGAAAGGAGGATGGAAAATCCCCCTCCCATCTGGATCCGCTTATGCTGAGAAGACAAAAATAGTGTGGACAACATGGAAGCCGTGGCCTGAGTAGGAGAGCAAGGATTCAGTTCGGGACGAATTGCAAAAATGAGTGGAAGAAAACAAATTTTTTCTAAAAGGACATTATGTTTGAACTGTGCCGCGAACCAGGTTTATGAAGATTCACGAGCTGCAATTCTGGAAAATATTTTTTGCTGGAAATCTGTCTATAGCAAAAGGCGAACAGAATAATTCGTTCAGATCTGGCATTTGCTACCCCCCTATCAATGAGGTAGAAGTAGATTTCTTTGTCCAAATCTGTAAAAAAAACACTGCTTCAAAAGATTACCGAGCCTTTGGCAGTCATCGACATTATTTGCGTCAGCACGATGGCCATCAAAAACACTGTCATCATGGAGGAGCAACACCGAGTTATACAATAAGCTGGACCAGTTCTCCGTTTCGCATCTTTCTTGACAGAAACATGAAGCGCCTTTCCGTTTCCGTCCACTCCAATAGCACGCCGTTCTTCGAACACCTCTAAAAGCAGATGCAAAATGTAGCGAAGCTCTTCCAGACTTGCTCTTAACTAAAGACCGGGAGGTAGACCTTTTATATACGGCAAAGCCAGTACCAGAGGATTATGCCTTCCCATCATATAGTCTGGTTCAGCATTGAAAGGAGCATGGTCGTCTGGCTGCTATGCAATGAGGACGCAACGGGCAGTGACAAAGTTAGGAAGAGGAAGGAGGAAGACTATATACCGATGGATAAATCTAACTTTTTTGAATGAATCACCATTTTTAGCATATCATGGCACCCCCGTCTAGGACTGTAAAAGTAGTCTGAGCGTGCAGAACAGCAGACGATAAGCCTCATTTACAAATGTGGAGAGCACAGCCCTCACCGCAACCGCTTTCTGTCGAATGAAGAGGATGATGCACAATCATACAGTCAAAATTCCGACAAACTCCCGAGCATAAACACACTCCTGTTGATTCTGACATGGCATAATCCCTTTGCTCTGATGCTAGTTAGGTTTCCTCTCGATTTTCGGTTGTAGGCATACGTGAAATTAGAGGTATTAGTCGTGACACATTCAAAAGAAATATATATATACATAAAATATATATATACATAAAATATAAAGAAGCATATATATATATATATATATATATATAT